AGTCTAGGTTATTAATATAACTCTAGAGGTTCTCTAGCGTACTCTACTAAAGTATATTCTATTTATCTATATAAAGCTAGCCCTTGTCTATATACGCTTAAAGAGTTAGGTAGTTCTACTTATAATAATTACTCTTATTATATACCTAATAATTTATAGTTACTCTAAGAGCCTGTCTATTTATAGTGCCTTAATTATATCTAGTTCTTAGATTCTAAAAGCCTTAGAAATTATTGCAGAAAGTCTAACTAGTGTTCTATTAGTAACTACTATATTACTACTACTACTAAGGTTAATACTAGTTATTTAGCTAGAATTACCTCTAGCCTTAGAGTAAGTACGCTCTTAGGTAGTTTGCGCGTTTATTAGCTTAATAGTCTACTTTGCTATGTATATTAGAGTTGTTTATAAGTTTAGTTTTGTAGTAGATCTACTAGATCTTCTATAGTTCTATTTCTAGGCTAGTATAATTAATCTTTAGGTTAAGTATCTTATTAACTAAGTTATCTACCTCTGTGTTAGTAGGTGCTTTTTCTAGAGAAGACTAGAAGACATAGAGCCTAAGTAGCTTATCTTAGAGTAGAATATTAAGCTTAGGTAGCTAGAAAGCCTGCGTGTAGTTATTTTAGAGAGTTAGTGCTAGTTACTAAGGTTACTAATAGGCTATTAGCTGCGCTAGGTTAAATTTAACTTCTAGAATAATCTCTTTAACTACTTTAGAGGGGTTAAGTATATAAGCTTCTTTCTCTACCTCTAGATAGGTAGTAAGGTAGTTACTAATCTTAGTATAGTTAAATGCCTTTAGGTTGTTAGTCTTTAAACTAAACTTGTTAAGTATCTTTATAGTATGCCTAAAGAGTAGTCTCTTAACTAGGTAGAAACCTTAGTAATTTTTATTAATAGTTAATGCTTTAATACAGCGCTTACTATAAATCTAAAACTTCTATAGGTACTTCTTAATGTTTAGATTAGACCTTGCTTAGTACTAGAGAAGCTAGTGCTTAAAGTACTTAGCCTAAGCTTTCTGTTAGTCTTTGTTATTAGTATAAAAGAGCTTTCTAAGAGCCTCTCTAAACTTCTTCTAGAATTTAGTAACTAGAGCGTTAGAATATTTGTTTAAGGCTTAGATAATTACTCTCTACTTAGATTTATAGTGCGCTAAAAGGTAATTAATTTTTATCTTATCTATAAACTTATAGTACTTTAATATATTCTTAAAATGCTTAAGAAACGTAGTAATATTAGTTCTATTAAATACTAGAACTGTCTCTAATAAGTACAGAGGAAGCTAGGTAGAATAGACTAGAGAGCGATTACCTAGCTACTAGAGAGACTAAGCTATTATCTAAAGGAGCTTTACTATATTATTATTCTAGAGTTATACTAGAAGTTGTGCCTAAGGCTGCTAGCTAGTAGTGCCTAAGAACTCTAGAATGTCTAGCATCTTAATATTCTCTTAGAATAACGTAGGTATTGCTTTAGGTTTTATAGGCTTAGTTTAGAGAGGCAAAGATAGTTATTTAGTAAACTAGGCTTTTAAAGAGGCTTTAGCAACTAACTTAGATTATTTATTAACCTTAGCCTTGTTAGATTAACTCTTACTTATTTATATAAGGTAGTACACAAGTATTATAAATAGTATAATAGCTAGTGTAAATATTAAACGTATAAGTGCTGTTAATTAGATTTAACTATTTGCTTACTAACAAAGTTAGGTATTCTTTACTAGAAGAGCTATTACTACCTTTTTTATATACTATAATAGCTTTCTACTACTATCTTATTATTTAGCCTCTTTCTTTCTAGCTATACTAGAATTAAGATCTACTGCGTTAGCTCTTCTAACCTTTCTTAGATCTTATTATTTATTCTTAGTAGAATAATATAGCTGTATACTTTCTATTGTATTATTTTCTATCTATATAGCTATCTAAGAGGCAATTAGCCTAGTCTAAACCTCTTGTCTAGCTTTTTGTATTGCTTAGCACAGCGCTACTATAGCTATATTATCTATTAGCCTAAGTAGTAGTTATTATTATCTAATTATTTATGTTATTAGAGGTCTTTTAGTGCGCCTACTTCTTAGGTGTCTATACTATTAGGTTTCTACAGCTTACAGTTTACTTCTACGCGTCTCTTAGGTATACTATTCTACGTATTATCTTATTCTCTATTTTATATACTTACCTATTACTTATTCTATTATATTACGTAATAATTATGTCTCTTCTAAAGCCTAGTTAAACTATTATTCTAACAAGCCTTTAGTAGGTAAAATGCGCACTTAAAAGTAGCGCGCAGCCTTTCTAAGGTAGAAGACTAAATAGATTAAGTTTTAGTTAGTCGCTATATATAGTAGAGTAATTAGAAGTATCTCTATTAGAATAGGTACTTAATGTAGTTAATTATATTATGTGTATATAGTTGTTGTTCTTGTCTAAACGCTGTTTAGACCTAGTTTTCTCTAGCGCACTAACTCTTAAGCCTAATAGCTATTTAGCCTATTATTATATTACTAGTTTTACTACTACAATATTATAATAGAGTGTATTATAGCTATATTTAGGTATACTTTTATATAGTAGTTTACGCGCTTACACTATATATAAATACTTACTATCTTACGCTTACTAAATATATCTATAAAAATCTAGTTCTTCTAGTTAGAAGCTAAACTTCTATAAGAGCTTCTAGACGTAGTATCTACTACTTTTATATTTACTATATAAATATTACTATTATAGTTCTACTTTTAAGGCGCTATAGGTATAGAGTAATAGAGCTAGAACTTCTAGGTAGACTTTATTTCTACTATCTTAAGGTTAACTATAATAGCTTTATATATAAGAACTATAGTATTATAGTTAGTGCGTAATACGCTTTAGTTTATAGAGACCTCTTTTATATAATTATTTAAGGCGTTATAAAGCTAGCCTAGCTTATACTTATTAGCTTAGTAGAGCTTATCTACCTATACTAAAGTCTAGCTAAAGGTAATAAAGAATTCTATAAAGAACTAACGCTTTCTCTAGCGTAAGTAGTCTAGGCGTACTAAGACTTACTTCTTACTATAGATATTACTATAGTAGAATAATAAGTAGTTAAGAAACTCTAGTAGATTCTAAGTACTATACCTACCTATCTTAAAGTATAAAGTAACCTACTACTAGACTATAAGTAATAGTTTAGTGTTAATAAATATAAACTATAACTTTCTATTCTCTAGAAACTCTTAGTCTATTACTAGCTTATACTTAATTATTACCTTCTAAGCTTAGAAGTACGCTTTATTACTTTTAAAGCGCTCCTCTATTTAAAAAAGCCTACGCTTATCTATATATATAGGTAGAGAAGAAGAAAAAAATAAAGAGTCTATACTAGCGCTAAAACTACTAATAAGTACCTCTATAGTAGAAGTAGTATTTCTTTTCTATAGAGTATTACTAAAGAAAAGTATAGTATTAAACTACGTACTTAAGGCTTTAAGGCGTTAAATAAGGTATTTATTCTAGATCTAGAGTATCTAGAATAAGGCGTAGTCTTCTATATAGTCTTAAGTTAGTTATTATAGTTAGTTTAGAATTACTTATAGAGTTACGTTTTTAGCTATTTTTATTTTTTAAGTCTAGCTAGTCTATCTCTAAACTTATATATAGTGCGTAAGAAAGAAGCTTTATAAATATTATAGACTAGCCTTAGAGTTAGAATATACTAAGTATTAATAGAATATTATAAGGCTTAGAACTTAAGAGGCTATATATAGAATCTAGAGGTTTGTATAGCAAGTCTAGATCTTATCTATACCTTCTCTATTCTAGCCTAGACTTAGGTAAAGCCTAAGACTATTATAGTAACTACTAATATAAAAGGTAGAATATAGACACTAGATTATTAATTACGTATCTTTAATAGATTACTAGAGATATTAACCTAGTCTATTACGCTAGAGTTATAAGTATAGTTTATTAACTATAATTATATACAAGAGTCTTATAAGTAATAGATAGAAATAATAAAGTAATTATAGTAAGAAGCTTATAAAAAGCTATTAAAAGTAAATATATATTATAGAGGTGTTAGGCTAACATTAGGCTAATATAACTAGAGATCTAAACTATTATAATATATAAGCTCTAGATAAGTAAATATTTTACGTAATTTACTATAAGTATACTTAAAAGGTATAGCGTAGTAGTATATATATATATATTACTACCTATAGATACCTCTAACGTTGCTCTTATTATTATTATTATTATTATTATTATTATTATTATTAGCGTTCTTAGTACTACTATTACTACCTTTCTTAGTTAAGATAGAAGGCACTACTATCTTTAATAGGCTTAAAATTTAACATTAATTACTCTTAACATTACTTAGTTAGCTTTTATATACATTATAATATTAGAGAGCTATTAGAGGTAGATAGCTATCTTAGAAATATTAGGTATTCTTATGCTATTCTACCTCTAACTACCCCTCTATAGCGCGCGCGACGGCATCGCGTTATTAACTCTAATAGGCCTACCTACTTTAGTTACAAAGCACGCCTTTACGACAGATTAAACCTAGTATACCTATTCTCTGCCGTCTTGTTAATTGTCTTGTAATAAGTTAGCACGCCTCCGATGTACATTAAAGGCTCTCTAGGCTTTCTAGAGATGTTAGTACCTATGTACTACTGTTGTAGTATTAGTAAATTACAATTTCTTATCTATTAACTCTCTGCAACTTACAGAATCTACACTAGGCAACAGCGACGCATTTACAAGCTTCTAGATAAGCTCTTTCTACTAATCTTCGCTCTCCTTCTAGGCTACGATCTTACGAAGCGACTTCTTATTCATGTAGTTTATTATCTGCAAGATCTAGTCGCCTTGCAGCTTAGCGCACGTGGGACTATTGCACAGCGTAGTCGGCGCTTAGGGCCTATATGTGAAAAACATGTTTGGGAAGCCTGCGACAGCCATTCCGAGATACGTCTTTACGCCGCCCTTCTAGTGCTCGCTTAGGCTCTCGCCTGATGGACCGCGGATATCGATCTGTTTTAGACCGCTGGTGATGGCGTTATATCCGGTCGCGCTGATGATGTAGTCGAACTTGTGTTCTTTCTCGGCGGTCCTGATACCTTTCTCCGTGATTTCCTGGATCGGCGTACCCTTCTCGCTGATGTTAACAAGAGAGACGTTGGGCTTGTTGTACATCTCGAAGTATCCATTCTCTAGCGCGATACGTTTGCAACCGAAGGAATAGGGTTGCTCCCTGGGAGCGAGTATATCGGCGACTTTGTTGTCACTGATTTTCGTTCGCGTCTTGTCCCGCCAAAAGTTGTATGCTTCGCGGTTGGCTTCTTTGCTAAAGAGCATGTCTTGATAAGCCGCAAGCCAGAACTTGAAATCGCCTTCGTTCCACAAGTCTTCGTAAACCTTCATTCTCTGTTCTGGCGTATCGTCGAATGTAGAGCGGGGGATGAACTCAAACGAGAAGCCTGAGAAGCGGGTTTTCAACCCCCCGAAGAAGTCCGGATACTCAAGCTTGGGAAGGGCCTGTTGCGGAAGGTCGTAGTCGACTTGACGCATTGGCATTGACATGTTTAGTGTCCGTTGGAAGACGGTGAGCTGGCTGGCAGTCTTACTCAGCTCCTGCGCTATCTGAATACCAGTAGCGCCTGTTCCAATAACAGCCACCTTCTTGCCGCGGAGATCGGGTTCCTCAAGAGGCCAAAATGAGGGATGGAGGAAGGTGCCTGATCCATGGTTAGTGTGTTTCACTGCGACGGCAATGTGATCCAACCTTTAAAACAATCGATGCCTTTCCAATCGGGAATGTGCCGCTTGGCCGCGAAGCCAGTGTTCAGCAACAGAAACTTCACCTTGTACATCTCGCCTGCCTTCGTCTTCACGGTCCATTTCGCTTCGTTATCACTCCATGTCGCAGATGAAACGAACGTGTCAAACTTGGTATCCTTCCTCAGATCCCATACCTTTGCCACGTGAGCAAAGTAAGCGCGAAGCTCCGAGCCTTCTGGGAACCTCTGCTTCCATGTCCAATCCTTCCAGAGCGCTGGGTCGGAGAACTCGTAGTGGGGAATGGAGCTGTCGACACGAACGCCTGGATACCGATTCCAGTACCATACACCGCCGTAATCGGATCCGTGTTCGACGAGCTTGACGTTATAGCCTGCGTCGCGGAGTGTCTTCAGCTGGTATACACCGCAGAAACCTGCGCCAACTATCAGGGCGTCGAGCTCTTTGATGTGCGTGCCATTGGTGCCATTAGCACTGCCGTTGAGAGACAATCTCTGGATATCTTCGATAGAGCCCATGTTGATATATGACTTGAGCCACGGCCGCGCTGGTGGATGCGAAGGATGAAGCCGATATGATGTTGATTACACTGCAGGTTCGGCCGAGGAAGAGATGACGATGCGGAGAGGCTTACACAGGTAGCAGACTGTTGGACTTCTTGCGTGACTTAAATGAATAGGCTGCAGTTCATCCGGGGTGTATTATCACAGCGCATCGCGCGCGAGAGGGTAGTTCTGCAGTTCTTGGTCTTGTTCATCAGACCATGCCTCGACGAATCCTTGTGCTTAGTGTCGGACTAGAACGGTGAGAGGCGGTAACACAGTGCGTGACCCGCTTACTCTGGTAGGGGTTCCTTCGGACATCGCACCGGTGTGGAGCTGCCAAGGCCTCTGCGGTACGGCACACCCGTTGGATGGCCAGGGGCAGTTCGTGAAGGCGGAATGTGGCATGGCAGGGAGTCCAACACCTATCGCACGATACAACCTGAACGTCACATTGACATTGCTCCAAAGCACGAAGAGTGCGCTCATCGCTACTACATTGTTGTGACACCAAGTTTGGCAGCGCCTCCAGCGGATATGGTCAGTTGCACAGCTACGCGTGGAGGATGTAAGATCCATGTAGTACTATATGCATCATGGGAGGTTCGGCCCTTTTATCATGGGGCCGACGAGCCTGGCGCTATAGGCGGGGAAAAGTGGCGCGGGCACTCACTGGAGGAAGACCGTTTTGTAATCATGACATGCGCTGATGAGGGCTCTGCTGATGCGTCTTACAAGCATGGCAAAAATTGCCGGGCGGTTTTGTACCAGACTGAAGTCAACAATGCATCCGATGCCGGCCTATGTAAAGACCGAAAGAATAACTTCAGCTGTCAGGCCTATACTCAAGTACGATGTGCATATCAGTAGTTACTATCCTCGCGCTAGACTTATTGACAGATGCATGTGTTATTCTGATCTAAAGTCTGCGACATTGTACTTTCAAAGGCATCATAGGAATGTCGCACACGATAACAATAGAGGAGACAGCTGCTCAGACGTGCATGATGTTCGTCGATGTGACAGCGTCTAGTTACAGTAGCTTCTCCGTTAGCTGTGAAACTACGAGATGAGGAGATGCGCCGTGTAACCCTAAGTACACAAATTAAACATCATGCTACACCTAGCGGTTAGCAACAGACATAATAGGAGACGATGGAAGGTATGAAAAGAGCCTATGGACGTTGACTTGGCGATATAGGTTGTGGTGGTTCGCGCTGGCGGAAGTGCTTGGCAAAAAAGGTTCGCCAAAAGATCAACACCCCAACTCCTGGACGACGACGGCATGTCCCCAAGAGCGCAAAAAACAAGGAAGCCCGACGTGGGGGTCGAACCCACAACCTTGAGATAACCAATCGAGTCTGATTAGGACGTGAAAGCTAAGAGTCTCACGCTCTACCGATTGAGCTAGCCGGGCGATGCTGTTGTTTGATAGAATAAACTGGACTTGAAACGCCTCTATACTCAGATGACACTGTCCGAGAGTAACGTTCAGGCTGTAGCAAACCAGGCTGCAAGTTGTTGAAGTTTGGGATTGGTGGTTGTGGTATCAAAGAAAATTTCTTGCGGTCGTGTGGGGCCGGCGGCGGCGGAGGACCGGCGAACATCGTGCGTGTAACCTCCATGACTTGTCAACCGAGAACGACCATGCTGACGCTCTTCTACCGTTCGGAGTGGTTTGCTGGTGTTACAGATGGAAGGTATTGCTCGCTTAATATAGTTCAGCCGCGGTATAGGGGCATCCGATGCGCATAGATGCAGCGACGTTGTGTATCATGACCAACAGCGAGCTTCCGAAGTCAGGTGTTCCTGCTTCGACTCCGGATACAAACAGAAAGATAGATGTCTTTGCTGGTTCCAGGCTTTGAGACTGCGAGGCTGGTTATTGCAGTGTAGATAGGGGCTCATGGCAATCCAGTCGCACGCCCTGCTTACCTAGGCAGGCACGCCCTATGAACTCCAGACCGCTCGTTGATTGAAATCTTCGATCCGGCGTAGAAACACGCCAGCAATCAATTCTGGTTCGAATCGATAGTTGTCCTCCATGTGCGACATGTACTACGTGTACAATGGGGGGCATGTTGCGACGCAGGTAGGCTGAGGTAGCTATCCGGGGGAGCGAAGGATCAACTGGGAGTGGCTCGATGTATTGGTGCAATGTAGCAATAAAGACTGTAAGAACATCGCAAGCATCTGATAAAGATTTCACGAAACCGAGAGTCGTTGTCGAGGTTGCAGTGTAGTGCTGCTTGTGGACACCTTACACCCCATAGCTGCAACACCCTGATGACGTATCCACTGCTGTCCCCACGTGCACAGACCACTACCTCAGCTCGGATCAGACGGCTACACCCAACACAGAGCCTCGTCCTTGTTGCAGTCGACGTTCACACAAGCTTTCTGATCGATGTCTAGTGCGAGGCTGGACTTGAGAATTTTGGAGACAGTGCGAGGCTGCCCGGTCCTAGGATTGGTGCATATCTAGTATCGACTTTGGACATGTCGACGCAGCCTGGTTCCCTACTCCAAGCGTATCTCAGGAGGGCTCAGGTTAGCATTTTTGATAGCTCATTGATCTGAAAGCTTGGACTGGAATCATGTTTTACGTTGAGAAGTATATTCTTGATGGTATATATTGCTGCCGTTACATCGTTTACTCATACATCATGAAAAGAAGAAATCGCAATATGCATGCATGCAGCCAACCGCCCCCAAAAAAGGTATACTTGCGACCCAACGCCTTGCTGTGACATAAACAATCAAACCCCCAAGACACACGATCCGTCATGGTGATTTCCAGACGCTCACCGATAAATCATCTCTTCTCGGAGAACGCTCCTCGGCGGACTGGGTACGTGTGGCGCAGGGAGACTCAACCTCTTCGTTTCGACCTTGACCTCGCGCAGATCGATTTCTTGTTCCAGTTCGCCGACATCGTGGTATGTTCCCACGTGTTTGACAAGGCTGTCTACTGTCCGGCAAATCGCGTCGACATCTCTGCCCTTGCTGCAAATTGTGCACGCGTACTCGCCATCTGGGGTATGGCACTTGATGACGAAGCGCTGGGCAAGACGGAACTCGCGTGTGTCCATGATGTCGTGCTCGTAGCCAGTGGTCTTGTCCCAGATGGTGACGGGTGTCCGTTTGCCGATCATCCAGAAGTCTTCGCTGGTTACGTCGAGGCGCACGCCGCATGCAGGACATGCGCAGCTGCCTCCCGGTGCGAAGCTAGCTGCCAAGGGGTTCCCGGGCATGTATTGTAGATCGAGTGCGTAGCGGCAGAAGAGTTGCTCGGGGCCGTCCATGGGCATAATAGCACTAGACGCGCGCTGCGAAGGGACGAGGGAGCGCGGTGGCGATGCAGGGCGGGGTGGGGGTGGTGCGCCGACTTGTGAGCCTCCTAATCGTTGTTGCGCTTCTTGTAGGGCGATCATGGAGCCTTCCCTGGCTTGGTTTGAGGCGGCGATGAGCTTGGACATGTCGGCGCGAGTCAATTGGCGGTCGTTGTATAAGGCATCTTGGAGGACGTTTATAACGGTTTGTTGGAGGGAGATGATGTGCGCTTGTAGTTTGTTCTCGACGATGGCTGTGCGCGGGGTCAGTCTTGTACCAGTTCTCCAGCGCAATCAACTTACCATCACCCTGGGCGAACCGGCTGCCCATCCTGCCATAGCCTTGGTCATACATCCTCTGAACCATCATACCATCCCTCTCAAAATTGTTTCCTACGTCGTCGCGGCCTCCACCGTTCTTTAGCCGATCGATCTCCTGTTGTCTACCGTCGGCTCTCTTCTGCGCCTCTTCGAACTGCTTCTTCAGCTCCTTGATCTCGCCATCTTGTTTCGTGTCGCGCTGTTTTTGTCGGTGCTGTTGGCGCTTGTCTGAGACGCGCTCCCATAGCCCCATAGACGCCGTGAACGTGCCGACAAGCGTGGACGCCAACGTGGCCACGATGAAGGTTTTCTGAGCCGCACGTGTGAGATTTGCGATCAATAGTAAGCACTGAGTGGGCATACCTTGAGTTTCTCCTCTTCGATCCATGATGCGTAATTCATTGTCGCGTTGGTGGTGTGAGCAAGTAGGCTCGTACGCCGCTTCAATATCGAACCGCGGAAAGGGCCGAGGAGATGGCGTGTTAAGGTTGCACGTTGGAAAGACGACACGTGCGTGCTTGACAGATTATGATTCCAACTCTTTCAATCTCGCGCAAGCAACTGCCTTTTCAGAAATGGGTAACACAACAAAGTGAAGTAGGAAAAGAAAAGCGCGGAGAATAAAGCGCAACCCCCTCCGCATTGCCAATGACGCACTCTGTCCTCCGCCCGTCCTGTAACACACGCGAGTCGAGCCCCCAAACGGCGCCCGACCTTAGATCAGCCGGGCATGGGAAATAGCGGCAGCTGATTGCACCAAATGTCGCGCAAATATCGGAATGGGCATGGACGCAGTGCTCTGACCGCTGGTTTCACGATGTGTTGCGAGCCGCGCCAGCAAAGTGGATGCGCCATGTGCTGTGATGTCATGCCGCTAGCTGGATTGGCTTTAGCTGACATGCGGGAGATGAAGCCGGCGAGGACCGCAACCTTAATATAAGCATGGCGGCCACGAGACGCCTCGATGAAGTCGTGTGAGGTTTCCGAGGGACATTCCACCTGGGCAAGGTTACGGTTTCAGATATGTGAAGCGAACATGGCGGCCAACCTTGGAAGACGTGCCTAGGTATGCTGCAGCCGCTCCAGCGCGTCGCACCCCCAATAGCACGTAATGTGATCTTTCATCAATATTCTCGAAGGCTACGCATGGATATACTTAGGTACCTGCGCAGCATATGACATGAGATTGTCAGGGGTTTGTCCATTTCCAGCTGCCTGTCATCACCGACCCCTTTGTAAGCTGACTGCATTGCCTTCCCGCAGCCGAAAGCATGTTGGTATCAGATACCCGGCGCCTGCCGAGGGTATCTTCAGTCCTTGTTT